CCCTTCTCCCTCTCCCTCTCCCTCGCACCCTCCCCTTCTCTCTCTCCTGCATACCCTCCCTTGCACACCCTCCCTTCTCCTGCACACCCACCCTCCCTCCCTCACTCACTCTCCCACACACCCTCCCTCGCACTCCTCCCTCCTCTCTTCTCACACACACCACTCCATCCTCTTTCAATCCTTCCCCAGCACACTCTCCCTCCCTCCCCTGTATACCTCCTTCACACACCCTCCCTTCCTCCCTCTCCCGCATACTCTCCCACCCTACGCACAGCCTCCTTCCCTCCCTCGACCCCCACAGCCGAGCTCCCGCTCTCTCTCTCAGTCCCTCCTTCCCAGTTGTTCCTTCCCCCCAGTCCTTTTCTCTCTCTCTCTCTCTCTCTCTCACACACAAACAAACACACACACAGTCCCTTGCCCTCTCTTAATCCCGCCTTGCCTGCTTCTTTCTCACCCTGCCTCTCTCTCACACCCTCGCTTCTTCCCTCCTTCCCGTTTTCTCTCTCACACAGTCCCTCCCTCCCAGTCATTCCTTCCCTCTCACTGTCCTTCTCTCTCTCTCACACACAGTCGCTCCCTCTCTGTCAATGCCACCCTGCTTTCTCACCCTGCCTCTCTCTCGGTCTCTCTCTCTCGCACACACCATCTCTCCTTCCCTGGTACCCATCCTCTCACAGCGCTGCTGGCCCCCAGCACCCGCTGCTGGACACAGGCCAGCGTTCAGAGCCTCACCCTGCGGCACAGTTTTGATTCGCACTGGGTCAGGGATGTCAGCCAGGAGATCCAGGGCATCTCTCAGCGTAAGGCCGGACACGGGAGCCTCGTTCACCTCCAGCAACAGGTCTCCTGCGTGCAGCTTGCCACTTTCCAGCCGGGCCACGCCTCTCTGGCACTCGCCAATGTACAGAAGTTGGCCGTACTCCGCTCCGCCCAGCAACCGCAGGTTCAGAAACCCTTCCTCATCCCGACACAGGGTCGCCTCTCGCGTCTTCTGTGTCCAGTGACTGATGTTGAGTAGCTTCCGTAACATGTCTTGGCGGGGGGGGGGGGGTAAAAAGAGGGGTTGGGAATACAGGGAGAAGAGTCAAGTCTGACTTCCGAATGTCAGTTAGCAGAGATCAGTCCAATAATTCACACCCTTCTCTGTTTTATTGCCATTGCAATCCGTACACACTTTTCACTGATTAAAGGTCTGACAGCTAGCTGATAAGTAACCAGCTCCAGCTCAAGCTTTATTTACCTCATTCAGGGTGGGGAGCAGACAAAACTTTATTCCCATCAAACACATTCAGGGCAGGCACAGCACGGGATTAGATATAGGAGTAAAGTTGCTTCTACGCTGCCCCCATCAAACATTCCCAGGACAGGGACAGCACAAAACAAAGCTCACTCTACCCTTTTAAAACAGAAAGTAAACTTCTCATGACACTGTCAACATCAAACACTCCTAGGTCAGGTACAGCATGGGTTTAAATAAGAGTATAGCTTCCTCTACACTGACTGCATCAAATACCCGCAAGGACAGGGACAGCACAGAGTTTAGAAAAAGCTCAACCTACTCTGTTAAACTGAAAGCAAAGTTCTTTCTGGACTGTCTCCAAAATACACTGTCAGGCCACCAACAGCATGGTGTTAGACACAGAGTAAATCTCCCTCTTGTTCTTTCAAACTGAAAATAAAGTTCTCTCTACACTGTTCGTCCATCCCCCCATCATCAAACACTCCCAGGACAGGGACAGCACGGGGTTAGATACGGAGTAAAGCTCCCTCTACACTGTCCCCTCATCAAACACCCCCAGGGACAGGGACAGCACAGGGTTAGATGCAGAGTAAAGAGCCCTCTACACTGTACACCCCCATCAAACACTCCCAGGACAGGGACAGCACAGGGTTAGATACAGAGTAAAGCTCCATCTACACTGCCCACCCATCAAACACTCCCTGGGCAGGGACAGCATGGGGTTAGATAGAGTGTAAAGGTCTATCTACACTGACCCCCAGGACAGGGACAGCACGGGGTTAGATACAGAGTGAAGCTCCCTCTAAGCCCATCCCCATTTAAACATTCCCAGGAACTTTGTGCAGCGAGAGTGATTAATCCTTTACTCCCGGTGCATCGAGTGGCAGAACACAAAGCGGCTTTGGGATTTTGGACTGCTACGTAAGACAGCTTCAGGCTTGACGTTTCCCTCACTCACTATCAGTGTTGATCCTGCTTCTCCTGGGCTGCCGCCTATTTTCGTGCTGCCAGGGGACACCGAAATGTAGCCTCCAACAACTGCCAATTCTGCCTCTCTTCTGAAGACTTCCCTGCCTGCAACTTTAACAACTCCCTCACCCCACAAACTGAAGGTCCTGGCAACTAACCCCATCCCTGCAGATACATCTGCCTGGAGCAAAACCTCCAGGCTCTGCATCCTAGGCCCTGTCCCGTCCTTGGCAATACCACCCATCGGGCCTGTCCAACAGAGGGTGTGGGGGAGGGGATGCTAAGAGGGCAGGGGTCAGGCAGACGGGGCGAAGTATGCAAGGGGCTGAGGGCAGAGAGGCAAAGGGCACAGTGACTGGATACAACCATTGTGCCAACAGCTTGACCCCCAAGGGCACAAATGTATGAATGAATGACTGTATCAAAATTTACTGCTGGTGTTCAACACAACTGGTGGCTTTGCATGCAATGCAGTACGCATGTAGGGCGCTGTAGGGCACCGTTTACCTGCTTCTGCTGCCGATGCCAAGGCTCTGTATGCAGCCCAGTCCCTGCCATTGCCTGGGGAGGTCTGATTGACAGGACGGAGGGGGCGGGGCCACGACGCATGTCAATCGCTGGCTTGCGGCCACGCCCATCGGAGGGTGGGGCCCTAGGGCCAGCTGCTTCGTCACCACTGGCCGAGCGCCGGCCCCTGCGCCGATTGGCCAGGCCCCTCCAAAAATCCTCCAGGCGCCGCCTTCCGATTGGACGACTCCACGTCGTTTCCATTGGACACCGCCCTGCACCCGGCCACCTCCGCCTCGGGCCCCTGTCAATCACATCCCACCCCGCGTCTCCATTGGTCGGGTTTAACTCAGCCACACTCCCCCGTTTTCCCTGGGACCTCACTGAGATCTGTGTACTTAAGGAGAGGTGCTGCAGATTTCTTACTGAGGAGGGGTCCATATTTTCACCTCTAACCCTTTCCTCCATCCCTCCCTCAACGTTTCGGTTTTTAACCGGTTACTGAGGCGAGGTACCGCCTGACGCCCGGAAACCAACATGGCTGCCGTCGCGCCTGCGCATTACTTTTCTTCTATTTTATGTCCATTCAATATATTAGTCAAACTGCTCGGATATTAGTGGGCAACGCTGTAGTAGTTACCAAGCCATAGAAAACCTCTTGCCCTGATTGAAAAATGAGAAACAAAAAAAACCCTGCTGCTGCGGTGCCTTCTGGGAATTGTAGTTCGTCGTCGACGGGAGAGGCATTGCTCCACATGCGTCACGTGTACACGGTAAAATTTATCCCATAGACAGAATAAACCAAATTTACCCCGTGAGGCTAAGGAAGAAGAAGAAGATGAAAGGTGGGTTAACCGAAATAAAAGATGGGAAAACCACTGCTCAATCTTGGCTCATGTGACGCAGGGTTCTCTGGGAATTAAAGTTCGCGCCTCCCGGCGCTATATACGGCGCGCATGCGTTGATGTTTTAATTATCCATTTCCTGTTGGAGAGTGAGATGTTTTTTCCCGTACAATAAAGAAAATATGTGATAAAAGTAACTTAATTTAAATTAAAAAGTGGGAAAGCAAAGCTTTGTTTACGCACGTATGACGCTGCGCCTCCTGGGAATAGTAGTTCTGTGTGGCGGAGTCAGGCGGCGGGACTACACCTCCCGGTGTGCTTTGCGGGCGGCCCCGCGGCCGGCGCCTGCGCAGTATCTCGGGATTTTGAGATGATGGCGGAGGCGGACGGGCAGCGGGGTCCGGTGTCGTTCGGCTTTAGCCGGACCGTTAGCAAAGTGCGAGTCAAAGAGGCCGAGCTGACTAACGATCAAGAGGCGGTGAGCAGCCTGGAACAAGGCGAGATCCTTGGGTAAGCCGTCGGGAGTGCCCCTCTCACGACAGAGTGGGGACAATCCTATGTAAACAGGTCACGCTGCAATTCTGGCCTCCAGCCACGAGGGATGCTACAGGGCAGTGAGGAATTCTATGTAAACAGATTACGTGGCCATTCCTGCTTCCAGCCACGACGGGGCACTGGCATGCAGTTAGGAAATCCTATGTAAACGGGTCATGTGGACATTCTGGCCTTCAGCCATGACAGAGTGCTGCAAGGTCATGAGGGAAATGCTATGTAAACAGGTCACGCTGCAATTCTGGTCTCCAGCCACTAGGGGTGCTGGAACACAGTGAGGGAAATCCTGTGTGAACAGGTATGCTGCAATTCTGGCTTCTGGCCACAAGACCACAGCACAGTGGCTCAGTGGTTAGGGACCTGGGTTCAATTCCAGCCTCTGGCAACTGCATCTGTGTGGAATTTGCACATTCTTCCTGTATCTGTGTGGGTTTCCTCTAGGTCGAGGGGAATGGCTGCCACCACCACTGGCCAGAGGCTGCCTGCACCTTAGCCAACTTTCACTCTCAACGTTGCTCCCACGCCCTCATCCCAACCTGCCCACATTCCTATCCTCATCCTGTGTCAACCTGAAAGTCTACGGAGAGATATAGATAGTCTAAGTGAGTGGGAAAAGGTCTGGCAGATGGAGTACAATGTTGATAAGTGTGAGGTCATCCATTTTGGTAGGAATAACAGCAAAATGGACTATGTTTTAAATGGTAAAAAATTGCAGCACGCTGCTGTGCAGAGGGACTTGGGTGTCCTTGTTCATGAATTGCTAAAAGTAGGATTGCAGGTGCAGCGGGTAATTAAAAAGGCAAATGGAATTTTGTCTGTCATTGCTAGAGGGATGGAGTTTAAAAACAGGGAGTCTATACTGCAGCTGTATAGAACATTACAGCGCAGTACAGGCCCTTCAGCCCTCGATGTTGCGCCGACCTGTGAAACCAATCTGAAGCCCATCTAACCTAAACTATTCCATTATCATCCATATGTTTATCCAATGATGATTTAAATGCCCTTAAAGTGGGCGAGTCTACTATTTTTGCAGGCAGGGCATTCCACGCCCTTACTACTCTCTGAGTAAAGAACCTACCTCTGACATCTGTCCTATATCTATCACCCCTCAATTTAAAGCTACGTCCCCTCGTGCTAGCCATCACCATCCGAGGAAAAAGGCTCCCACTGTCCACCCTATCTAATCCTCTGATCATCTTGTATGTCTCTATCAAGTCACCTCTTAACCTTCTTCTCTCTAGCGAAAACAGTCTCAAAACCCTCAGCCTTTCCTCATAAGACCTTCCCTCCATACCAGGCAACATCCTGGTAAATCTCCTTTGCACCCTTTCCAATGCTTCCACATCCTTCCTATAATGCGGTGACCAGAACTGTACGCAATACTCCAAGTGCGGCCGCACCAGAGTTTTGTACAGCTGCAACATGACCTCATGGCTCTGAAACTCAATCCCTCTACCAATAAAACCTAACATACTGTACGCCTTCTTAACAACGCTATCAACCTGGGTTGCAACTTTCAGTGATCTATGCACATGTATGGGGTCCTGGTGAGGCCACACCTGGAGTACTGTGTGTAGTTTTGGTCTCCTTACTCGAGAAGGGATGTACTAGCACTGGAGGGGGTGCAGAGGAGATTCACTTGGTTGATTCCTGAGTTGAGAGGGTTGGATTATGAGGAGAGGTGAGTAGGCTGGGATTATACTCATTGGAATTCAGAAGAATGAGGGGAGATCTTATAGAAACATATAAGATTATGATGGGAATAGATAAGGTGGAGGCAGGGAGGTTGTTTCCACTAGCAGGTGAAACTAGGACTAGGGGGCATAGCCTCAAAATAAAGGGAAGCAGATGTAGGACTGAGGTCAGGAGGAACTTCTTCACCCAAAGGGTTGTGAATCTGTGGAAATTCCCTGACCAGTGAAGCGGTTGAAGCTACCTCACTGAATGTTTTTAAGGCAAGGCTGGATAAATTTTTGAAAAAACAGTAAAGGGATTAAGGGTAATGGTGTGTGGGCAGGTATGTGGAGCTGAGTCTCAAAAAGATCAGCCATGATCTTATTAAATCGAGGGGCCTGCTCCTAGTTCTTATGTTCTTATGAACTGAGGGGTAACTTTTTCACACACCGGGTATGGAACGTGTTGGGAGAGGAAGTAGTGGAGGCTGGTACAATCACAACATTTAAAAGGCATCTGGTTGGGTAGATGAATAGGAAGGGATTAGAGGGATATGGGCCAAATGCTGGGAAACGGGACTAGATTAATTTAGGAAATCTGGTCAGCAGGGACGAGTTGGACCGAAGGGTCTGTTTCCGTGCTGTACATCTCTGAAGGGTTTGAGTTATAAGGAAATGTTGGATAGGCTGGGACTTCTTTCACTGGGCGTAGGAAGTTGAGGATGAGATTATTTTTTCCCATACAATAAAGGAAACGTGATTAAAAAATAACTTAATTTGAATTAAAAAGTGGGAAAGCAAAGCTCTGTTATCACACATACGATGTTGATTTTATAATCTTGGAGGATTATGAAATCATGAGGAGTATAGAGGGTGCATAGAGGTAAGTAGGGGAGGCGATGGCCTAGTGGTATTAGTGCTGGACTGTTAATCCAGAGATTCAGATAATGTTCTGCGGACCTGAGTTCGAATCCCGCCATGGCAGATGGTGGAATTTGAATTCAATAAATATCTGGAGTTAACAATCTAATGGTGACCATGAATCCATTGTCAATTGTTGGGGGAAAAACCCATCTGGTTCATTAATGTCCTTTAGGGAAGGAAACTGCCATCCTTACCTGGTCTGGCCTACATGTGACTCCAGACCCACAGCAATGTGGTCGACTCTTAAGTTAGGGACGGGCAATAAATGCTGCCTAGCCAGCGACACCCTTGTCCTGTGAATGAATTTTTTAAAAAGTGTCTTTCCCCAGGGTGGGGGATTTCAAGACCAGGGGGTATGTTTTTTCAGGCAAGAGGAGAAACATTTAAAAAAGGCATGATGTGCTCCATGGCTCTGTGACTTGTAATCAGAAATATATCAACCTCTAACTTAAATGTGCTCATAGACTGGGCTTCCACAGCCCTCTGGGGCAGAGAATTACAAACATTCTTAAACCTCCGAGTAAAAACATCTTGCTCTTCATCTTGATCTTTAATCGCATCCCATTATTTTTAAATTAGGCCCCTGGTTCTAGACTTCCCAACAAGGAGAACCATTTTGCCTTCACCTACTGGTCAGTCTCTTCCAGTATTTTATAAATTTCAATGAGATGACTTCTCATTCTTTGAAACTGTATATAGACTGTAGGTCCAGTTTGCCCAATCTCTCTTTATAGAATAGTCATAGAGTCACACAGCATGGAATCAGACCTTTCAGTCCAACAAATCTGTGCCAACCATATTCCCAAATTAAACTAGTCCCACCTGTCTGCTCCTGGCCCCTATCCCTCCAAAGGTTTCCTATTCGTGTACTTACCCAAATGTCTTTTAAATGTTGTAACTGTACCTGTATTTTCTCTGGCAGTTCATTCCACACACGAACCACTGTGTTTATACAAAAAAGTTGCCCCTCATCCTTTTTAAATCCCTCTCCTCTCCCCTTAAAAGTATGCCTCCTGGTTTTGAACTCCCCCACCCTAGGGAAAAGACCCTTTTCATTCACCTTATCTGTGCCCCTCATGATTTTATCAACCTTTACAAGGTCACCCCAGTGAAAAAAGTC